GACGGCAACTTGGTCCAAACATCATAACTTCAGTCTTGTTCTCATTTCGACTAAGGAAGTTAAGAGAGAACCATGTCTTAACATCATTAAGGCAGTGTGAAAGTTGTTGAACTGTGTTGTTTTGTGCCATGGGAAAATAGATCTGGCAATCATCAGCATAAATGTGAAATAAAATGCCATGCTTCCTAAAAATCGAGCCAAGGGGGAGCAAGTAAAGGGCAAATAAAAGAGGGCCAAGGATTGAGCCCTGGGGGACACCATGTGGAAGAGGAGCAGTGGAAGACATAAAATTGTTGATTTTTACGCAATGATTTTTACGTAGGATGTTTTTGTCCTTGCTAAGAGTGGTGAGTGCATCCCTCTCCTCTCTACTGATGTTGGAAGGTGGTGGTTTGGCATTGCTGAGGCAGGATGAAACTTTGATTCTGAGTCGTTCTGCTTCACCCTCTTTCATTTTGTTGTCAAGAATCTCTGTCTCTGGCTGGGTGAGCTGTCTGTCAGATAAATTCTTCAACCACTTTTCTGTCTCCCTGGCATGTAATTGCCTACTGGAGTATTGTCCTACACTGAATGTGTTGTTATTGGCATTGTGATGGTGTTGATAAGTTATTAGTAAGCTAAACTTGTTTTGTTGTCGAGTCTTGGACTTGACATGCTGTGCTAAGCGTGCCTGATCTGTACAGTCCATCACTTGCTGAAGTGTGATCTGATCTAGACATGTTGTTAGTTTTTGTTTAATGTGCTCTTCTTTGGCCTTCAAGGCCTCAATAGTAAAATTGGTCTGTCTCACCAGTTCATTCAGCAGCTGGGTCTGTGCCTTCTGAAGGATCTTGCTTGCCCGGTGCCCACTGACTGAAGATTTTAGTTCCAGGCTCTTGGGAATGATGTCACATTGTCGACATCTGAGGTTGAATCGCAAGTGGTTCCTGTAGTCTTCCCTCTTCCTTACTGTTTTCTCAAACGCTCTTACTAGTTTGAGGCAATCCTGGCCAAAGTGGTTCAAAATATCCTGGAACCCAGACCCAGACCAGTGGTCATTCCGTATGTTGAGGGAGTATCAGAGAAACTGAGACGTTTATTTTCTAAACATAACGTCACAGTGACTTTTAAACTCCAAAATACATTACGGCAAAGACTGGTTCATCCCAAAGATCCAATCCCCCGGCACAAACAGCGTAATATTGTGTATGCTCTTCAGTGTCAGGAGGGCTGTGATCAGTCTTACATCAGGGAAACTAAACAGCCACTGGCCAAAAGGATGGCCCAGCACAGAAGATCAACATCATCAGGCCAGGACTCTGCAGTCTACACTCATCTCCAGGCCAGCGGTCACTCTTTCAGGGATGAAGATGTTCACATCCTAGACAGAGAGGAACGATGGTTTGAGAGAGGAGTAAAGGAGGCCATCTTTGTGAAAAGAAATCGTCCATCGTTAAACAGGGGTGGAGGCCTCTGGGTTCAACTGTCCCCCTCTTATAATGCTTTTATTGCTAGTATCACTCAACCCTCTGTGAATAGTAAACAGCCATCAGTGTGCTAATGATCCATTGTTAGGCTGATGGTCCTTCTTGACCATGTGAGCAGCTGGTTTTGGTTGTCAGCAGCAAACTGGTTGATCCACTCTGAGAAGATGCTATTTAAGAGACAGAGCTGAATACAGCACCTCAGATTGAGGAAGTCTTTCGGATGAAAGACGCAACGTATCTACATTTTTTTGCTTTGTTTAGTTTTTGTTTTTTTGAATGTCCAGAGGACCAGATTGAACTTTTTTAGAATCCAAACTGGTTTCATGGTACGACAGAGCAGTGCATAGATCTTGCTGAGAGCCCCCTTGGTATCAGACCTGCATTCCAAAATCTTAACCACAAAATGTTTAGAGGGGTACAAAGGAAAACAATCAGTTAGACCTCACTAAATGCCTCAATTGCAGATATCTGAAGAACTGTGACTTATGGATATTAAACTTCTACACCAGCTGCTCAAAAGAGGAAAACTTATCTTCATCATAGAGCTCATATTGTCAGGATGGCACCATCTAGTGGGCCTTCCCCCTGTCTGTTCTCCCTTGTGTCTGAATTGATTGTTTTGATTATCGTCACCTGTGTCATGTCCTGGTTGTGTGTATATAAAGTCTGTCTGTCAGTTCTGTCATTGTCGGTTCGTCGTTGGGTATGTCCTGTCTTGTCCTGCCTGAGTGATCGTGTTTCTTGAGGCCATGTAAGTTTTGCTGCCATGTCAGCCCTTTTGATTTATTATTATTATTATTAAAAGTATTTTTATTTCATACATTTGCCTCCTGAGTCCTGCCTGCGCAACTGGGTTCTTCTGTCCTGATCTGCCACGAAAAAACCTGACACATATAGTGAATGTACTCCATTCATGTCCCAGGCATTAAAAGTTGTATCAGTTACTTAGGGAGTAAACATATACCTGTAATTATTTGACGCAGGTGCCACAAACAGTAACTTTGTAACAGTAACTTTGAAGTAGGATTATGGAAGCACCACACATTAGCCACACCATAAAATGTAAGGAATGAGTTGATTGATTTAGCTGACTTAGTCAGAGTAGTTTTCCTCATTGAATTACGGTCAAGAGATGAAAGCACACAATTTGTGTCATCACCAATTATAAGGTTGCATATTCGGTTTGGTTGAAAAGACGTTATTGAAAAATGTGAAGTCATCCCAGTTTGATGCATATACTGAAACCAAAATCACTGGGAGTGTGTATAACTTCCCTACCACTATAACATACCACCCAGCAGTGTCAGTATGTGTACATGAGGCTGTAAATGGTACCTGCTTGCCTACCATAATGGTTGCCCCTCTTGATTTGGATTGAAAATTAGATTCAAACACTTGGACAGACCCTTTTTTTTTTTTTACCAAAATTTCCACTGTATACAGAATGCACATGGGTCTCGTAAAAAAGCAATGTCAGTTTAAGCTCTTTCAGATATGACATAATTTTCCAAAGTTTTACTGGACCATTAAGGGATTTCAGATTCCAGCTTACACAGTTCACTGGATGGGCATTAGAGTGTCTAACATCCTTAACACTGGTCATAAATGAACAATATGATATTATTGAATACACACAAACAGCCAAACGCCAACACCTGACAGAAAAGACAAACAGATCTGGTATAAACACACCCCTATCTCCTACACGAACACAGAGAGAACAGCAACATATATCAACGGAGAATCCACACATCTGTGTTTATACTGAGGAGCACAGCTCTACCTGCTTGGGCTCCAGTCAGCCCACATATGAGAGAGAAAAAAACAGCCAAATATTTAGACATACATAAACTTGAAAAGAATGCTGATTATGGGAAGCCAGTCATGTTTTTTTTTTTTTCGTCCTCGCCGTCCATCGTGTGTGAAGTGAAGCCATGCAGGAAAAAGTAGCGAACATCTCACAGCCACCTCACCTCCGTGAACACCGCTCGAGCCCTGGCCACACTTGGTGCGTAATCCTCTGTGATGATGATTGGTGAATCATCATCACATCAAGTTTGAAGTGATGATGAAGCGGAGCGGTCCATGACTGCGCGCACATTGTAATATTTCCACGCAGTCTTGGTAGTAGTGTAATTTAGCTACAATAGCCCTCAGCTTATCATCTGACTTCTTCCCGCCCAGTGTCTGGTGCGGGCAATCGACCAGTGGTGACTTGATCCGCTGCAGCAGCTCAGTTAGCATCTAAGCTACTGCCGCAGTGGTGCTTGACTCTGGCATCTCAAGGACGCATAAGATCCCCACGTTGCACCTTCTCAAATGCCCCTCCATGTCCTCACATTTCTTCTTCAGCCCATTTATTTCACCTTTCAGTTCTGTCACAGTGCTGCACAGAACTCCAACTTCATCTGACCAGGTGGAAAGTCCGTCTTCAACATCCTTCACGCTCAGTCTCAACTGGTAAATTTCTGCTCTGAAAGCCGTGATGCTGTTAGTCACCTCCGCTCTCACAGCTTGAAGCTCACTTTTAATAAAGTTGAGATCCTCCGAGAGGGCAGCCCTCATCGCCAATATGATTATCGCTGAAATTTCTTCTTTTATTGAAGCCAGAATGTCCGACTTCAAGGCCTACACGTCCATTTCTCTGGAACCTGGTGAGGATGGAGCCGAGACCCCAGCTCTAGAAGTACCATGGCCTGAGGCAGCATCAGGCCCAGTGGCCACAGAAATTAGCTTAAATTTCTTCAATTTTGATGCCATATTTCAGCTCTGACGAGTCGTCACACGACAATGCTGACTCCTGGAGCATCCGATGCAGAGGCAGCGAGAATATCCTCCTGAAAGGCAGTTTTTAGTTAGTAATGGCAGGAGCCCAGCTAAACACAACCTAACGTGTCGCCACCATCATGTCCCTCCCAGTCTGTTTGTTCTTTTTCTATTATGTAACACTTCAAAAATGAAAATGATTTGGCTTTTACAAAGTTTATTCCTTCGTTCTGTCCCAGATGCTGCAACAACCCTCACTTTTTCTACAAAACTAGGAACCTTTAAGGAAGATTGCATCTGACGCGGTGCCTTCTGGAACTCCAGCTGTAAAAGATCATGGTGTTTGCAGACCTCCTGGAGCAGGTGGGCAGCACAGGACGCTTCCAGGTCCTGCACGTGACGCTCCTCTGTCTTCCCGTCATGATGATGGCCAGTCACAACCTGCTGCAGAACTTTGTGGCCTTGGAGTCTCTTCACCACTGCAGAGCACACTCCAACCTCTCTGGGTTTCAGCTGAGCCCAGAGGAGACGCTGCTCATCACTGTCCCTCTGGATTCTGTTGGGAAACCTCAGAGATGTCAGCGGTACGTGAGTCCACAGTGGCACCTTGTGGACAGGAACTGGAGTTTGGCTTCAGACAAGCGTGGTGAGGATGAGGATGAGCTGGACATTGTCCTGCAGGGATGCACAGATGGCTGGTCCTACAACATGACTGAAAGGACCTCCACTATCATATCTGAGGTATGGCTGCATGCTCCACCTGCTTCGCATCGAGGACTTCAACACAAGTTAGATGTTTGTACATGTTGTTTGATGTGATAGTGGGATTTGGTGTGTGACCTGCGCTCCTTTAAACAAATGGGACAAACGATTTACATGGGAGGTGTGCTCATGGGGGCTTTTGTGTTGGGGAGCCTCTCAGACAGGTAAGATTTACCTTTTCAACTCTAACTTTATTTAAAACTCTAGCAGTGCACAACGTGTCTGAAGCAGAAACTCTGACAATAATATGTTATTTTGATGTTTTTTGATGAACAAATTATTTCACTGACGTCATTATCTTCCAGATATGGTCGACGAATGCTCCTGATTGTTTCCAACCTGCTCATGGCAGTTTCAGGAACGTGCGCTGCTTTCTCCCCCTCCTTCTCCCTCTTCTGCCTGTTCAGGTTTGGTTGTGGGATGGCTCTGTCTGGCGTCGGCCTCAACTCCTTATCACTCAGTAAGATATAAAATTTAAAGAACAGAACAAATCAAAGGCATACTCATTTTTTCATGCTAGAGTTTAACAACTACCTTGTAAAATATATGTTCTCCAATCTCATGCAAAACTCCATGAGACCTTTTAGCTCAAGAAGTTGTTTCTTTGTGCGTAGGCCTACGCACAGAACCACAGTTCAGATTATCAGGCTTTCTTTGTGTCCTGGAATTCCTCAATTCTTCCTGGATGACTTTAAAGTCCAATGACAGTCACCTGACTGAGAGGAACGCCCTCCTTTATCTGAACCACAGAGGTTGTCAGCCTTCAGATTTATGTTTTAAGATGGCCTGTTCATAATGAGGGTGGTACATAAGTCTTGTGGTACCAGACCACCCTAGGCCAAAGGCCAAAGAGTGATGATCAGTTTTACAATCAAACATGAGGACCAGATCTTTGAAAAATGAATAAATAAAGGCGTAGCACTGCCAATTGGTTCCCATCTGGTGGTTTTAGATCTGGTGACATGGAAGACTGACAGTCAGGGTGAACTGGCAACATCTGATGGAGGCTCTGACAATGAGCTCTTCCACTCCTTTCTCCAGTAGGTTTTTGTAAACCATGGGGAGGTCTGGAATGTGGACTTCGAATAGGTCATGTTCAGGGTCTCTACTGCAGATGGAGCTTCCAGGAGCTGTAATTTGAAGGTCATCAGTGCCTTTTGAGGTGACTACAGGACAAGACATTGGTGGATACCAGTGATCATGGAGGTCCTCAAGGTAATGTAGGAGGTCTTTATGACTGGTTTATTTGAAAGGACTCCTGAATCAGCTAACAGGTACATGTAGGCTAGAAGGACTGAAGTTTCTATGGTTGTGGGAGCAAAAACCTCATGCTAGGCCATAGACAAGGACAATCTGTGTGGCATACCATTGTTAAAAAAAAAAAAAAAGATTGACCGTAGCATGTGTTTCAACAATCAGATGCCACGTTTCTCAACCTCTGTGGAAAAGTTTACTGTTGGAAGGTGCTGGAAGGGCCACACCGATCGAGTCTTGAACCTCAGATTCAGAAGGAGCAGCGTGCCTTTTGTCCTGGCTACAGAAAAATGGACTAGAACTTTTAATTTTGCAAAGTTTTTAAGGTGTTCAAAGGAATCTGACTCCCTAATCTGCATGTGTTATGTGGATTTGAATGGCTGCAATCAGCTGCAACATTGTGATGTGATCAAGATGAGAATCAGGTCCTCTTAATCTGAGGCCATGGATCTCGCCTGAGCAGGTTCTCTTTGGGATGGGGTGAACTTTTGACTCAAACAGAGGACTTCACATATCTAAGAGTCTTGGTCATAAGTGATGTTAGGGTGGAGCAGTAGATGATTATAGTCTTCTCCATACTAATGAGAGTGTTGCTCTGGTCTGTTGGGGTGAAGAAGCAGCTGAGCCAAACTGCAAAGCTCTCTGGTTCATCTACTTTCTTACTATTTGGCTAAAAGGTGGGATTATATTCAAAATAACAAAATCTTCAGTGCAACCATCTGAGACAGGCTTCCTTTAAAGGGTGGCTCAGCTATTGCAATCATGGAGTACAACCACCACTATTCCACATTGAAAGGACTCAGCTGAGGTGGTTTGTGCATCTGATTTGGTTGCCTCCTGAGTGCTTCTCTTTAGGGTTTCCAGGAATATGCCACCTGAACAGATGCAATATTTTGGCAGCAACCATCTTACACCAGGGGACAAACATGCAAGCTCTGAGTATAAACAGATTGGACAAAACTTTTGTTCTAATCTTTGGGATATAAAATGGTGTGCACTATGCATTACTTTAAATAATGTTATTTTTTGAAAGTTTTTGTCCATTTCTAAAAACAGCCCATAAACCCCTCAAATAAAAATGTCTCATTTGGTTTAAAGTTGTCGAGTGGGTCCCCACCCGTGTGCGAACCGCCACAGGGACAATGGCGGGTTACTGTTACACGATTGGACAGCTGATCTTCACATTCCTCGCTTACTTCATCAGGGACTGGAGGTGGTTAACGCTGAGCGTGTCGCTGCCTTCCTACGCCTTCTTCCTCAGCTCATGGTGCGACACCAAACTAAAGATAAGCCACTGGAGGCCTGCCTAAAGTTTCAAATATTTAGTGATGCAATATATATGATACACACACACACATACACATGTATATATATATATATATATATATATATATATATATA